AGATTCCTATATAGACATAGGTCAAAATTTCCCACCCCCATAACTTGGTCAAATCTCATCCGATTTTCACGAGGCTTGGCTTTTTCTTTGTGGTTTCCCCCCCCCAACTAATCTGGCATTCAAATCTGAACACATGATTTTTAGTCGAATTTCATGTCAAAATCTTACCCCAAGATTCCTATATAGACATAGGTCAAAATTTCCCACCCCCATAACTTGGTCAAATCTCATCCAATTTTCACGAGGCTTGGCTTTTTCTTCATGGTTTTCCTTCCAGATTAATCTGGCATTCAAATCTGAACACACGTTTTTTAGTCGAATTTCATGCCCCAGTCTTACCCCAAGATTCCTATATAGACATGGGTCAAAATTTCCCACCCCCATAACTTGGTCAAATCTCATCTGATTTTCACGAGGTTAGGCTTTTTCTTCATAGTTTTCCCTCCAGATTAATCTGGCATTCAAATCTGAACACATGTTTTTTAGTCGAATTTCATGTCAAAATCCCCCAATATTCCTATATTGACATGGGCCAAAATTTCCCACCCCCATAACTTGGTCAAATCTCATCCGAATTTCACGTGGCTTGGCTTTTTCTTCATGGTTTTCCCCCCCAACTAATCTGGCATGCAAATCTCAACACATGATTTTTAGTCGAATTTCATGTCAAAATCTTACCCCAAGATTCCTATATAGACACGGGTCAAAATTTCCCACCCCATAACTTGGTCAAATCTCATCCGATTCTCACGAGGTTTGGCTTTTTCTTCATAGTTTGTCCTCCAGAATAATCTGGCATTCAAATCTGAACACACGATTTTTAGTCGAATTTCATGTCAAAATCTTACCCCAAGATTCCTATATAGACATGGGTCAAAATTTCCCACCCCCATAACTTGGTCAAATCTCATCCGATTTTCACGAGGCTTGGCTTTTTCTCTGTGGTTTTCCCCCCCAACTAATCTGGCATTCAAATCTCGACACCGATTTTTTAGTCGAAATTCATGTCCAAATCTTACCCCAAGATTCGTATATAGACATGGGTCAAAAATGACCACCCCCATAACTCGGTCAAATCTCATCCGATTTCCACGAAGTTTGGCTTTTTCTTCATGGCTTTCCCTCTAGATTAATCTGGCATTCAAATCTCGACTCCGATTTTTTAGTCGAAATTCATGTCCAAATCTTACCCCAAGATTCCTATATAGACATGGGTCAAAATTTCCCTCACCCATAACTTGGTCAAATCTCATCTGATTTTCACGAGGTTTGGCTTTTTCTTCATAGTTTTCCCTCCAGATTAATCTGGCATTCAAATCTGAACACATGTTTTTTAGTCGAATTTCATGTCAAAATCCCCCAAGATTCCTATATTGACATGGGCCAAAATTTCCCACCCCCATAACTTGGTTAAATCTCATCCGATTTTCACGTGGTTTGGCTTTTTCTTCATGGTTTTCCCTCCCAACTAATCTGGCATTCAAATCTCAACACATGTTTTTTAGTCGAATTTCATGTCAAAATCTTACACCAAGATTCCTATATAGACATAGGTTGAATTTTCCCACCCCCATAACTCGGTCAAATCTCATCCGATTCCCACGAGGTTTGGCTTTTTCTTCATGGTTTTCCCTCCCAACTAATCTGGCATTCAAATCTGAACACATGATTTTTAGTCGAATTTCATGTCAAAATCTTACACCAAGATTCCTATATAGACATAGGTCAAAATTTCCCACCCCCATAACTTGGTCAAATCTCATCCAATTTTCACGAGGCTTGGCTTTTTCTTCATGGTTTTCCTTCCAGATTAATCTGGCATTCAAATCTGAACACATATTTTTTAGTCGAATTTCATGCCAAAATCTTACCCCAAGATTCCTATATAGACATGGGTCAAAATTTCCCACACCCATAACTTGGTCAAATCTTATCTGATTTTCACGAGGTTTGGCTTTTTCTTCATAGTTTTCCTTCCAGGTTCATCTGGCATTAAAATCTGAACACATATTTTTTAGTCGAATTTCTTGCCAAAATCATACCCCAAGATTCCTATATAGACACGGGTCAAAATTTCCCACACCCATAACTTGGTCAAATCTCATCTGATTTTCACGAGGTTTGGCTTTTTCTTCATAGTTTTCCCTCCAGATTCATCTGGCATTCAAATCTGAACACATATTTTTTAGTCGAATTTCTTGCCAAAATCATACCCCAAGATTCCTATATAGACATGGGTCAAAATTTCCTACACCCATAACTTGGTCAAATCTCATCCGATTTTCACGAGGTTCCAAATTAGCATTATTTTTGAATTTCGAATTTCATGTAAAAATGGTACCCTTAAATATCCTATATAGAGATGGGTCGAAGTTTTCCAACCCTATATACATATATATAATTTCCCAATCCGATCTGCAGCGCAACAGACAGCACGAGATCAACAAGGTGCAGATATCCACGATCTTGCGCATGGATCAGCTGCAGCATTTCTATGAGGGCGACGACTATCGCGACGTGTCCAAGGCCATACTCTTCGATGCGGATATCCTGATCGATTTGCGCCGGCGGGCAGAGAAGCTGCACGAGGAGACGCTGGCCACGCGGCGCTGGCATCGAATCAACTTTATTCATTTGCGTCGCATGAATCGGGACATCAAGTTCATGCGCTTCGAGATAACGCGGCTCGAGGAGGAGATCAAGCAGGCCATGATGAGGCGTTTCGGCCTGATCATCAATCTGGACGAGCTGGAGGAGGAGGTGCTGCGGCGCTACATATTTGAGCTGGAGACGACGGCGGAGGAGGAGCTGCGCGCACTCGAGAAGGAGCTGAGGGAACGGCAGGTGGGTTTGAATCGGAAAAGATGCTGGTTCAGTCTGTATTCAAGTTCATGTTATCTTCACTTACAAGCAGTTAAGTTTAGCCTGCATGTCAAAGTGCTCCTCAAGACGAAACTTTCTTATTTAACAAGCAGTTAAATATAAAATTTTACTCCAAGGACTTAACTGTTAGAAAGCAGCTAGATTAGTAAATTTGCATGTCATCTTCACTAACAAGCAGTTAAATTTAGTCTAGATGTCAAAGTGCTTCTCAAAACAAAGCTTTCTTATTCAACAAGCTGGTTCGAGTTGACTAAAATGATACTTAACTGTTCAAGTACATGGTAGCTTTAACATGCGGATGCATGCTAAAGTTAATATTTTTTATAATTTTCAACGAGATTTGAGAACACAATGTCGAACCTCTACATAGCTTCAGCTCATATTTGACAAGCATTTAAAATCTTAAGTACCTCATGTTAAAGTGTTTGTCAACATTTTTACTTCCTCAATACTACAAGCTTAACATGGTCTTCTTCAGACTGAGTTATTAGTTGAAACTTTATTGAGTGCATGTCAAAGTGCTTGTCAAGATTAACAAAGGGATACGAGCTTATTGTTAAACTATTAACGTCCTTTAGTGTGAATTTCTTATTTAACTAAGACGTTAAATTTCACTTACCCCCTGTTAAAGTGCTTGTCAAAATTAACAATCACATGACAAGAGCTTTAAATATTGTCTCTATCAGACTGAGATATTTGTTGACACACAGTTGAGCTGGTGTCGGATTCAACTAATATTTGTTAGGAAGTTTCATTTCACTTACCTCCTGTCAAAATGCTTGTCAAAATTAGCAACCACTTGACATGAGCTTTTAATATGCTTTTCTTCAGACTGAACAATAATTCATCTAATAAGTTGACACACAGTTGAGCTTGTGTCAAAGTGCTTGTCAAGATTAACGGGAACTACGCGCTCTCATTGATTTTCTCCTCCTCCAGATTGAGCTATCGCGTTGCGAGGAGGAGCTGGTCCAGGAGACACAAAACCACACGGAGAAGGTAAACATAAAGACGGTGCTGCTCGACCAAAAGAACGTGCTGGACGTGCTGCTGGACAACCAGGAGCGCAACTACTGCAAATGGGCCAATCCGCAGGTGCTCAACCTGAGCTACGACATCGAGAAGCTGATGGGCATCGACAAGCAGCTGCTGCAGCAGATCGAGGTGCGTAGCCCGAAACACTTGTCGCCCACAGCCGAAACTAAACCATGTCCAACATCCCCAACAGTGCCTCGAGCGGGAGATCTGCACGCTGCGGCTCAAGGCCAAACCGCTGCAGATCAACGAGCTGGTCCCGCCTCCGCTGGATGTCGTTCCCAGCGAGCTGCTGCCGCCGCTTGACGGCGAGACGGAGGTATGCCCGGCCATACTCAATGTGGACGCGTATATGCTGCCGCCCATGCCGGATGACTTCATCATGGACCGAGTGCACACGATTGTCACGAAGAGCTTCAATCAGTTTCTCGGCCGGCACACGACCGCCGAGAATGTACGCAAATTTGCTCAGCGATCAGCGCTGTATCTGTGCCAGGCAGCGTACAGCTTCCAGGGCAGATACACGGATCGCATAGCCGAGTGCATCACGGAGCATCTGGAGAGCATTGTGCCCAAAAAGTATTTCATACACATACGGGCCGAGGATTTGCGCAAGCTCTTCAACGAGGTGGTCGCCGTCTTCGATTACGAGCGCTCCGATGTGAACACCGAGGAGCTGATTTCCGGTATATTCGAGCATGCCAAGGATTCGCTGTGCGCGCGCGGCGTCTGCGAGGTGGTCAATCGCACCCAGTACATTGTGCTGCACATGTTCAAGGAGCTGATCGAGGTGCTGCCCCTCGAGGAGTTCCAGGCCGAGGAGACGTTGCGCATCATTGTCGATGTGCTGGAGCGCGAACCGATGTCGGATCCGCGCGCCATCAACGTGGAGGAGCTGATAACCAGCACACTGCGTCACGCCCAGGAGAATCTGCTGGATGGGATCACGGCGCTGCCCATACGCCAGCTGGGCAACGGCATACAGCGGGAGCTGCTCAAGCGGCGCCAATACAAGCCGCCCAATTGCCAATCGCCGCTGGCCGTGCGGATTGCCAGTAAAAAGCCGACACCGAACACGGGACTTCCGTTCTAGGCTAGACCTGGACATGGACTAATTTTTATTTTATGCTGACTAATAAACATATAAAGCTTGAGAATGCATATATACTGGAATATGGATTTGGCTTGGCGTCGGCGGCGGCGGCGGCGGGGATAATATATGTATATATTTACTCTAGACGTCTCTTGACCGTGTTAATTTTGAGCGGCAACAGCTCGAGCATCTCGCGCACAACTCCGATCTCGCCGTGCAGCTGCTCGGCCGGTTCCTTGTGCAGTTCGCAGCCCTCGCTGAAACGCTTGTAATAGACCAGACACTGGTTCAGCTGCTCCAGCTGGTGCTGCGGATGTGCGCTGATCAGCTTATAGTAGAGCCTGCCGATGTGGAAGTGCGCGTAGAGCATCGTGCGCAGCTCCTCGATGTCCATATTGGGGCGCCATTGCTGGCTGATTCCGCTTCCGCTGCTGCTACCGGTGCTGCTGCTGTCAGCCAGATAGGACTTGACATAGTTCTCGAAATGTTTGATAGCCTTGAGACAGCTCTGGTTGACGCGTTTGATCTCGTCCGGGGTGGGCGTCTGCTTGTGCTTCATGCTGTCGAGACGCACATCGAGCACGGCAGCATGGGCTGTGCCCGCCACGTACCAGCACTCGCGGCAGATCTTCAGATAGTGGCTGGGGTCGAGCAGCTCGAGCAGATCCTCCAAGTATTTGGCGCGACGCTTGTGCATCTTGGCCTGATTCTCCGGCAGCTCCTCGAAGAAGGCGATGTGCTCGTATGCCTCGGCATAGTCCTGTATAATCTTGGCATACTCGGTGGCCTCTGTCTCCGCCTTGTAGTAGTCCTTGGCCACGTCCAGCCACTCGTTGACAAAGTGAAAGACCAGCTTGGCGTCGTCAAAGGTCAAACAATAGTCGCAGCTGACGCGACTCTCGCAGGCGGTCAGATCCAGGTCGACGAAGCGATAGTCCTCGTCCATCAGCGACAACTGCTCGGCTGCACGGATCAGGCGCTGCGCCTCCTCCTCGTCGTCGCGCAGCAGCCGCTCCTTGGAAGTCTGCAGCAGGAGCAGCCCGTACTTGGCCCAGCAGCGTGCCACGTCCGCATAGCGATGCTTGAATGTCTCGACGACGTCCGAGCGCTGCTGCTCGCTCAGCTCCGGCTGCAGCATGTGCTCCTCGTACTCGGCCATGATGATCGTGGCGGCGGCCAGATGATGTCGCGCCTCTCGGAAGCGCTCCTGGCCAATGTAATACTGCGATAGCGTGGCCGTGTTCAATGCAAAGTCAACGGCATCGTAAGATTTGTGCTGCAGCTGGCGATGTAGCGTGCGATGGCAGCACTGGGCCGACTTTTCCGGCTCGCCCAAATGGCCATACATCTGGGCCAGATAGAAGCAGCAGAGCGTATAGAGATTCTCCAGCTCCCTTTCGCCCTTGGCACCCTCCAGCTCATCGGGCGGATTATAGAGATCGGCCATGGTGAGCGCTGTCTGGCCGCTGACCTGGAACTCATCGTAGCTTTTGTCCGCTTGGAGCAGAAGTTCGACGGCACGCTTGTACTCCTGCCGCGAGGCCAGCACAATGCTCAGCTCATTGACGGCGCCCACATATGGTATAATGCCCTCGGGCCGTAGCTTGTGCGGCTCGACTAGCTCCAGGCAACGGTTGAGCAGCTTTTCGCCCTCGGCGGGCTCCTCGGTGTAGATGTAGATGCGGCCCAGGTCGCGACAGGTGAAGGCAAGGGTTGACTTGTACAGCAGCTCATCCTCACTGCCGTCCTCCTCGGCTGCTTGCACGGAGATCAGCTGATCGTCGAGCTGCTTTTTTAAATCGAGGAGCACGTCGCGCGCTTTGTAGTGGGAGCGATAGGGATCTGTGGGCGGATCGGTGCGACTGTCTTGCTCGACTAGTTGGCTAGATTTCTCGAACACCTCCTTGAAGTCGCTAAGCACTTCCTTTGGAATAACCATATTGTTTGTATTTTAAGCTACTTAATTTCGAAAATTTTCAATTTTTTTTTCTTAAGACTTGTGTCATATTTTTTTAATACCTATTCAGCTAAATTGTGGTGGTCGACCGATAAGTTCAGCGGCCTGATCAGCTGGTCACATCTTATACATATCGATAAGCTGCGCTTTGTATTCATCGTGTGTCATCAATACATCGCATAGCATTCAGCAACACTGGCTAAGCGATAGCTGGCCAACTCTCGTCACTAATTTTCTGTCAGCACACAAACTGTGAAATAAATAAACAAAACATTATAATAATGGCTTCCGATGGCGAGGATATGGATGTAACACCGGTGGAAAGTGAAGTATCTGCAGCAGAAACTGAAACAGAAGCAGATGATGCGCACTTGCCGGAACCCGATACAGACGACGAAAGTTTAGAGGTCGAAGAGGTGCCCGTGTCAAGTGAGGAAGCAGAAATGGAAGAATTATTGGGACAACTCGAGGATTATACGCCAACGGTGCCCGATGCGCTCACATTGCGTATTTTGAATAGCGTACGTAAAGTAAACCACCAAATTTAGTGTTAATAATATTAATATCATATCTAGTCTGGTTTTGGCTCCGTGGATCCGCGGATTGTGCGCATAATTTCCGTATCAGCACAAAAATTCATCTCGGACATTGCGAATGATGCTCTGCAACATTGTAAAACGCGCACAACGAACATTCAACACTCCAGCGGACACAGCTCCAGCAAGGTATTGCTTTTTAATTTCATTCTTTTATAAATATATGTTAAGCAATTGTTTTCTGCAGGACAAAAAGAATCCAAAAGATCGCAAATACACTTTGGCTATGGAGGATTTGGTGCCAGCTCTGGCCGATCATGGCATAACTATGCGTAAACCGCAATATTTTGTTTAATATTCACATTATAATAAATAAATAAATAAATATAAAATTAGTCATAATTCCCATACATTATGCGTGAGTGAGTAACTTATTTGTGTGCAATTGTTTACAGTTACCGATATCGGTTACTATCGAAATCAAACAAGTTGATTGCGGTCCTATCGGCGGCGAACAGCTGTTCAGTGGCAAGAAGCAGCGCAAGATGGGAGTGCTTTCATTTCGTGTTAAATTTTTTTTATATTTTCTTTTCGCGCATAATAGTTGCAATCAATTGTGAAAAACACCTAAAAACGCGCTTTTAACGTTGCGCGCATTCAATGAGCATAACGGCAAACGCGTCGCTGCGCTGAAAACGGACGAAAACAGTTAACGAAAAGTTGAGACAACGACGACCTCCAATACAAAGTGGGAAAAATCGAACTTTGTGCGCGTGTGTGTGTGTGTGTAATAATTAATTTTAAGAAAGAAAATCAAACATGAAATGTTTATGCATACAAATTGATTTTCATAAAGTGCTAAGCAATTGAAATGCATCTACGCAGCAATAACCGCTAATTTAATAAACGTGCAGAAAAAAAGAAAATCCTGAAAAATGGAAGTGGAGGAAACGAGCGACAATGGATTCCCGCTGGGCTTTCCAGAAGTGGGCACCTGGAACCGCACACACAATGTGCCGCTGGAGAACATGAAAATCGATGCACCCATGGTAAAAATGCACACACAAACATACATACATACACACATATTCATGTATGTATGTATGCACATATATATAGATTTAAGTCAGTGTTGCCAACTGCGGCTTCAAAAGGAAGATGAATATTAAATATGGTCAAAAAATAATTGAATTATCTTGCGGAATACAAATTGACAATAAATAGGGACGTGATTTCTTAAAAAGCTGTGTAAAAAGCTAAAACAGATTAAAAGTTCATCTGTTGCCGGGTCAGCAGGAAGTGTTTGTCACTGCGTAAATAGCCTAATTTAGCTGAAAAATAGTTGAATTGGCAACGCGTTACATGCATGTATATTCATGCATATACACATACATACATGCATATATGCATACATACGTACAATATAACAGCACTTTGATTAATATGGCATGCGTTGAGCGTGAATCAGTCGAGGACGACGCTTTATCAGCGCAGCGCAGTCGACTGCGTAATCTGCCGCTCGCTTGTCGCTTCCATTTCAATTTCTCTTATCAATCAATTATGATGCTTTGGTCGTTGACACACACGGAAATATATTTAGAGCAAGTTCTTTGTGCAATCGATATTTATCGATATACACGATTACTTTCCAGTGGGCGTTCGATAGGCAATTAAACCCTAGAAGACAGGAGTTAATTAATCTAAATATTTTAATAGTAATAATTTATTTACTAGGCAAGGTAATTCGGATGCCTGCGTGCACTTAATATAAATATTCGTTTCGATAAATATTCGATAGCAAATCGTTTATTAATAGCCCCTAAACGTATCGATTCATTTTTGATAGCAAATCGATAGTCAATAATTGACATCTGTTTAAACATATCGATAGATAGTTGATAATAGCTCGATAGTCAATACTGATAACTGTCCCAACGTATCGATATATATTCGATAACAACATTTCAATATACACTCGATTGCCATTTAGTGCAGAGAAACGCTTCGAGCTATCCGAAATTGATCCAATTTTTTTGTGGATACGATAAATAATCGATGATGCCAATTGGATATTCGATAACTATTTATAATCTTCTTCATAACGTATTTGTAGCATTATATTTATCATATTCAGATCCGACCTACCCTATTTTAGTACGATAAATATTCGATAGTATATCGATAGGCAATTGAGTTAAGCTGGATTTTCAGATACAATTTGATAACTAATCGATTAAGACAAGTGGACATTCGATAACTAACCGATTCTTGCTTATAACGAATTTGTAGCATATTTTAACGATATCCAGATCGGATATTCATTTACTTTTCCATATATATATTTTTTTTGAATAATTTTTGAACGTAGCAATTAAGCATTCATTTTGCCTTGACAGTAGAGGGGGGAAGTTGTGCCTCATTCATACAATACGAACATTTTAGTCGGACAGCCTTTTGTTTTTACTTATATGAACAAAACGTTCAAAATTCTTTTAAAAAGGGGACAGATTTCATTTCAAATCTGTTTTCGCGGTCTTTGGACATCGCATTCGCCAACAAAGCAAAACAGATCGAATAAATCTAATCAAAATATACATATTTCGACCATACGTTAGCTTGTTTTTAGTATCTGTAGTTAAAAATTTTGGTTAACCTTTATTACCCGATTCGCCCGATACAACACCCGATTGCCTCCCGAACACACACACACACACACACACACACACACACACACACACACACACACACGCACACACACACACGCACACACGCACGCACACACAGGAACCCACACATTCACACTCACACATACACTCACACACACACAGAATGCAAACATTGAGAGTTTTAATGCGCCGTTTGAAGGACCGTAAATTTCTCCAGAACAAGTCATGCGTAAATCCCGGCCGTCGCTATACAAGCAGCAGCCTGCCCAATTTTATACTGGTCGACGTGGATGAGCAGGAGGATGTTGAATCGGAGGATAATCTAGGCATACATCCGATCTATCCGATATTGGGCAATCGGTATTCGGATCTGTTCTATATGCCGCAGAGCGTGGGTCCCGCCTATCAGGATCTGTTCACGACCGCCGATCAATTTGATCTAAGCAAATATCACGATTCGATGGCCTGGAACGGCATCCAGCCGATCAGAGCCCAGGTTGTGCGCTGCCCGAAACTGCTGCTGCCCCACATGAAGCGCCTCTTCACAATACCCTGCTCCAAGCTCAAGGATCCTGTCAACTTTAGCATATTCAATTTGTATTTCGACAGCGATGTGAACAGCGCCATCAAGGCCTTTGTGCTGATCGCCTCGCAGTATTCCGTCGAGTTTATGCAGGATGGCTATTGGTCGGACTTTGTCAATCCGTTTACGGGTCGCGCCTATTTCCGGCCGGCCGCCCGACGCAGCCTGCTCAGCCAGGAGGCCCGCTGTCTGGGCCACAACATGATCTTCAAGGACGTGCACGGCTGCACCGTCATCAAGGAGGCCAAAAAATGCACCTTTGCCGGCGCCATATTCAGCGACGTGCCGGTCAACTACTTTGATTGATCCAGAATCCAACAATTTTTATTGCAGTCCAATGCATTGGCGTGTGTCTCTGTCTTGGTTCCTTGTCCACATTCAAGTTCAGTTAGAGTTTGTCCACAAAAAAAAAATACATGTACCAAGTGTTTAATAAATCGGAAGCCCGGCAATGACTTTATTTGGAAAAATCAAACAACTATTTACTATGGAATTATCCATGACCAGGTGCATCAATAGAACCAACTCTGAGGGAAAACTTTTGCCTAGCGCAAAGCTGGCTAAAATATGGCTCTGAATCCGATCTGTCTGAAGTAAATCCAATACGGATTTCATTTGTTTATCTAATCCAATATCTGGTTCACGCTTTGTGTGTTTCGTTATCAGCGGGAGTTATTCAACAGCTTGTGACTAACTCGAAGAATTTATGGGCATGAGTAATAAGCGTAACAAACACGTTTACCTTACTTTTATATAATTACGTATATATGTGCATCGATCTCAGAGACTGTGAGAGCTAAAAACCTGCGACTTGGTATTTGTGCACACTTGGCTGTCATATTAATGCCCTACAAATTTTATAAAGATCGGAACGTAAACAGCTCAGTTTAGAAGGAACGTATCATGCATTGTGCGGGCCAGCTAGAATGAATGTGGCGGCAGGGTATCACATAGTCGGGTACTTTTGAAGGTTTCTTTTCATGATCCGCTTTAAACGTTAAGCTAAATATGATATTATTTTAGGTTCTTTTGCTTGCCGAACAGGCTATTTCCCATCTCTTTATCCTATCTACCTAACACTATATATCTAGTATAAATTTCCTTATTTTTTATAAGGGAAATTGTGAGTCTTAGTTTCTTGCATATCTGAAGGTCGTAAAGCTCTCTCACATAAGCCTAAAGGAATCTTAAGTAGTTGAAAAGCTAAAGATATATATGGTAAGATATATATATATATCCTAGTCGGGCACTTTCCAACCCTTCTTTTTCTTGCTGGGGTCACAACAACATTCACTTTGAACTCTCCGATATGATGCCCAATTAGGATTCACCCTGGATGCTTGCTTCGGATAGCTTGCTGTATCGATAAACATTCGATAGATAATCGATAGTCAATATTTCCTAGTCGGGTACTTTCAAATCCATCTTTTTCTGGCTGGGGTCACAACCGCATTCACTTCGAACCTTTTGATATGATTCCTAACTACGATCCATCTGCAGATTTGGCTGCTCTGCTCGCTGCTGACGACCATCACGTGGGTGACGTACAACAACTTTTACAACTCGCGCGTAATCGGCATGCTGATCACGAAGATAGCGAATCGCTGGTTCATCAAGGGCGCCTACTTCAAGATCGGATCGGTGGCGCTGAATCCTCTCGCTGGGAAGATAATGTTTCGGGATTTCGTGTACATCACCTACGACTACACGATGCGCGTGCAGGATGGCTATTTCATCTTTCGCTGGTGGCGCTCCTACGTGCCCAAGGATGTTTCCGAGGGTGAGTTTTGGCCAGTTGCAAGAGAAATCCAATTTAAAGTCCTTTTTCTCCATTCAGATCTCTCGCACTCGGACACTCGGCTGTCGGTTCAGCTGAACGGCTACGAACTGCACATCTATAATCGTTCGGATCTGTACGACAAGCTGGAGAAGACCTTCGGCCTGGAGCCGTCGCTGCTAATACCCACGGACGTGGCGAGCAACGAGGAGCGCAACAAGCTGAAGGAGCACAACATGAACCTGGAGAATGCGCGCCAGAACAGGCGCGTGAACAGCGTCAAGAACTCGGAGGCCATGCAGGCGACCACCTGGCGTGATCTGATACCCGTCATCAAGATCGACATCAGCTCCGGACGCTTTGTCTTCGGCAATCGCCTCACACCGACCACGCTGTCCATTTCCATGGAGGAGGCCCATTGCACGTACAGCACCAAGCCCGCGGTCTGTCGACTCGATCATTTCATGCACTTTGTCAAGGCGAAAGTGGAGAATGCCAAGGTGCTCTTCTGTCCCAGTCCCAAGTACACGGGCCTTATCGACGAGCCGCCGCGCTATATGGGCGAGGGTTTTGTGGTCATGATGTCCAACCAAATGGATTTGTATTTCTACATGGACGAGCCGGGCGTGGTGCCCGAAGAGCCCGTACAGATCGTGCTCGCGAACGGCGACGTGGTCGAGCCGTCGCCGCCCGTTTGGGGCATCAATGCGCATTGCCTGAAGGGTACCGACTTTAGCTACGGCCCCTGGGCGGACAGACAGCGCGATCATCTCTACAGATATTTCTATCCATCCGATTGGAAGGAGGCCGAGGTCACGCCCACACCCCTACCGGGCGAGCTGCGCAGCTATCAGTCGTTCGATGTGACGCTATGCGTGCTGAATGAGGCGACAATTGATATTCTGTTCTCCAAGGAGAAGGAGACGAACGCCATGCACATAACTGTCGGCCCCGCCTCCTATGTGGAGGTGACCATACCCTGGGTAACGCTGCCCGACGGCTACACGTCCAAGATCCAGGGTCAGCTATTCCATGTGGAGGCCACCACCTCGCTGCAGTATCGCAGCCTGGCCGAGTTCGAGTCGCTGGAGTACAAGGTGCGCATACACTATCCGACCAAGTGGAACGCGCCGCAGGACTGGAACATCTCGCTGGCCGGCTGCAAGACGAGCGCATTTATTGTGTACAAGCATAAGTGCTTCTTCCAGGACCTAATCGAGGATTGGGCCAACAAGGCGCGACCCGACATACTCAGCTTTGTGCCCTACACCTGCAACTTCAACATACGCCTAAACGAGTTCGAGATCCTGATGCTGTGCAACGAGTACAATTGGATCGACTGTAGCAGCGCCAACCAGGAGAACAATCATTTGGGCTTCTGCGGCGATGTCTTTGAGATGAGCTTCGCGCTGCCCTTCGATGATTTTCTGCCCAAGACTGTGACGCTCAAGTTCTGGATGCACGGCGAGGGTCTCGACTTGAGTTTGTACGTGCCGGAGGTGTCCTCGGTGCGACCTATTGTCCTAGCCATAGACGAGAACGCAAGACTGTTGACCCGCGAGGGCAAGCTGATCCGCCGGCCGGAGCTCTATACTAAGAAATGGCGCAAGATTTGCCAGCGCAGCGCCGGCTGGATTGATTGCTGGGCCGTGCCCATTCTGGCGCTGTCCATACAATATGTATATCATCCGGTGCCGCCGCTGGGACCCGATCCGCAGGCGGACATCACCACGCCCGAGAAGGAGGAGATCCTTCTGAGTCCCATGCGCATACCTAAGGTGCGTAAATCTCCTGTGAGCTGGCAGCAGGCGCAGCAATCGGAGCAGCAGCAAAACCGATTCGATCCGGGCACGCTGACAGCGGATCATGTCACCGTGGAGCTGGAGATCGGCAGCTCCGTGTTGATGGCCTATGGCAATGTGCTGCGCAATTTCATGAGTCTCAAGGAGAACATCTTTGGCGAGGATCAGAACTTTACCGATATGGAGCAGTCGAATGTGAGTCTAAAGGAAACGGGCGTCGCGCCCAATCCCAAAGATCAGCTGCTGGCCAAAGAGAAGGAGCTGGCCAACAAGTCCATATCGGAGACAACGGCGCCCGAGGAGAAGCGCAAACCCTTCGATCCGCGCCTCTATCGCCCGCTGGAGGTCATGGTCTCAGTCATCGTGCATGACATACAGGCGCACGTGATGAAGAACTGCAATCCGGAGGATCCGCCCTGCCCGGTGGTGCTGATCGAGCGCTTCGGCTTCGAGATGAACAAGCGCTATCACGAGACGACTCTGCAGGTGCTCGTCAGTCCCTCGTATCTGCTCACCGCAGACACGCTGCAGCGCCAGCAGCGCGAGCAGCACATCCAGCAGGGCCATCTGCTGCTGTCTGCCGTCCAGGTACGCGGCCATGCCATGTTCAGTAACGAGGGCTGCGCCCTCGACGAGGATACACTGGAGTATTCCTGGTTGGTCGAGGTGCAGCTGGGCAAGCTGACGGGCAAGCTTACGCTGCCGCAGCTGGTAAATGTGGTTACCGGTCTGGAGACCCTAGTGCTGCTAGCCATCGATCCGGAGAACTGCCTGAAGTCGCCGAAGACGGTGCGCAACTGCCATCATGGGGTGCCTAGCAACCTGTGCCCGCACACCAAGGAGGAGAACAAATACAAGTGCCCCTCCGCCGAGGACATCAAGTACAAGATGACGCGCGTCTCGGTGGATGCCGTCGATGTGTATCTTATCGAGAGCGGCACGGCGCTGCATGCCTGGATCTCGCCCATACGGCTGGCTAATTGTAATCTGCACGGGCAGCGCGTCAAGTCGGGCATCTCGGGCCTGTTGCCCTCCATTCTGCTGCGCCTGTTTATGCTGCACGCAGGCAATGCGCCTAACAGCAGCTACAATACGAACACGACGGGCAGCAATCGCTCCGGCAAGCTGCGACGCGCCGACCAGGACTCGCTCAAGTCACAGGATGTGCCCAGCAGTGGACACCACAAGGCACCCGGCGGCAAGCGCAGCTCCAACTCCTTCTCGCAGCGTCGTGATTCGCGCGAGGAAGCCGCTCGACAGAGCAAGCTGCGCGACAATGTGCCGGATGCGAATGCCGCCAAGCGCACACCGGAAACGGCAGAGCTCTGCGAGAACTGGGTGGAGGTGGGTTGCACCTCGCTTGGCCCCATACTGCTGGAGGGCGCCTCCGCGCTGCCCATACCCGATCATGAGCTGCATCTCGTTCAACACAAGTGAGTTTCGTCTGTTAATGCCCTATAGGATGGGGTTGAAATGTGTGAGGAGACTCCGTTTATCCTTCAGCCGATCCTTAATTGGTTATATTGACATGTCCATCTGTTTCTATGTCAACAAGTCCCTCAATATATTCCACATCCGTCTCATCATGCAAGATGCCTCATCTCCACAGAAGGAGACCCCATTCCCCTGTTTCTATCTTAAAAAGTCCCTTAATATATGCCTCCTCTCTGCAAGAGTATTCAATCTTTGTTATATATTCCTTTTTAACTATTTTATTTTCCTGCCCAGCTTTCTGCGCGAACACGACGCCAAGTTTAAGCGACTGTGGTTCCTTTGGTCCAACAATGGCAACGCGCTCAGCTCGGGCTCGGAGACCTCGCGCTGCGGCTGCATCGGTGGCTGCGCCTTCTTTGGCACCAATCGCAATGGCCAAAAGTTCTTCAAGCCCACGGCGCAGGATGTGCACGACAACTACAACATTGCGCGCTACTTGTGAGTAGGAGAAGAATAATTGTTACCTTGGCTCACTCTAAACCTCAAATTCCTTTTCAGCATCATTAACAACAACAAGGACTTTGGTTTTGGCGAGAGCATTCTGCATCAGGGGCAGCTGGTCTTCCACACGCCTCCCTATAGCCTGCACTGCGTCTCGCTCTACGATGCGGACGATTTCAATGGCAAGGGCAAGCTCTATAGGCCCGCTATGGAGCTGCGCAACGGCAGCCTGAAGAAGTCGGAGCTGTGCGCGCTGCCGGATGGCGCCAAGTTCAAAATTGGCGGCGGCGCCGTCGTGGACAAGCCGGAGCTGGCCAGCAGCCGCAACAGGTCCCGCGAGAGCATTGCCTCGCCCAATACGCTGGAGCGGCGCAGCAAGCGCTACACGTGCACACGTCAGACCTCCGTGGAGGTGCCTTACGCGCGTCTGCTGGACAGTCCATCCAAGAAGCTGCAGCTGCAGCACGATTCCATAGAAAACAGCGGCAGCGGCGCCGGCAGCCAGCGACGCGGTTCGGACTCGCACAGACTGCGCGTGTCGCCACCCAAGACAAGCATCTCGGACTCCAGACTGACCGGCGAGGCGGCGCTCGATGATGAGCATGAGGTAAGTGCAAATAATATTGTAAGGAGATAATAAACCTTTATCATATTCTCATATTCTCCACACAGATGCCCGACGAGATGTCGCACTCGGCACCCCATTCGCATCCTCTCGAGTTCGAGATTGCGGACATTGTGCTGCACGCCGGCGAGCAGATGCCGCGCGAGGTGCAGCGCACCATATCGCTGACCTCGGAGAATCCATCCGAGATGTTCTTCTCCGCCGAGGAGGACATATCCAATGTGCTCTCACAGCGCGGCTCCATGAAGCAGCGCAGCGCGAACGGATCCATCATATTGTCGGGCAGAAAACGTTTCTCCTCGGACTTCAGGTAAGTCCCAACGAATATTGTAGCCCACAGCCGATAGCTAAACCCGATTCCCAATCTTTTGCAGCATTGGCGAAAATGGCAGCCACACGTTGCCAACGTACCGCAGCGATCTGGAGATCCATGCACCGGAGAGCAACAAGACGCTGCCCAAGCGGCCGCAGAGCACCACAGAACTGGTAAAAACAATTGAGCAAAATCTCCAAAGTATTTCTCTATCTCTATGTTAGGTCTTTACGTATTCAATTACATATATTCTATATATATATATATATATATTATATACTCTACACATTGAGGATTTACTGCTTTTGGGGCCTAGTTAATGTTTCACTCTCACCACAAACTAAAATTGCAGCCCAGTTCTGAAGAACTTTGCATGCTTCTCTAAGTATATTTAAGATATCTTGCTCTCAATTCTATCAATAACTGTTATCAATGCTTTATATAAACAAAAATCCACACCTAAATTCTATTCCTCTCCACAAACTCGAACTTTCGATTCATCCAAAACGAAAATCTATAAAAAAAATTAATCGCTAAAATCAAAATAAAACCAAAATATAAATAAAAATCCAGAATGAAGACGCGAGACGCATTCACGGTCTTGCCACACCTATAAGAAAATTAACAAATATATCATCACGACCCGAGTACCGACATTTTGTTCACGACGTGAGTAGTTCTTAGTTCCTAGCAAAAGCAAACCAAAGCACAAAAAAATAACTAATAATTAATTAAAAATCCTTAATCTTAAACTAAATTGTAGCGCAATTAAATTAAAATATTTTCTTTATTAGCGAATTTTTTAATATTTAAACCATTGTCGCGCATTATTTTGGTTAAAAAACGGCAATTATCTTCGGAATGCCGATGCTAACTATACCTTTGCAGACAGAATGAACTCCGTGACTTAATTAAAACTTTAATTGAAAAGAAAAACAAGTGTGATCTAGTGTCCGCAGAGAATAGCCCTTGCTTATCCAACTGGCTTAGTCCGTCTGTTTAAAATTGTCGAAATTGGATACCTCAACTTGTATATATGAATATGTATTCTCCTATGCCCTACGCTGGTTACGAGTTTCTATCCTATTCTCTGTATCTTCTTCCAAGAGCGCTCTTAATCATTTTCTGTACAACAAATCAAATTACGAATCATCCATTCTGCAGCTTCCTAATTTGTAAATACATATGTATATTCCCCTTTGGCCAGGTTGCGAGCTTATAATCATTTCTCTGTTTCTTCTTCCAAGAGCCTTCTTCCTCATGTTCACAACATCAAATCAAATCCATTTTATTGCTGCTAAAAAATGTTTCGATACCTTAATTTAGAAATAAGAATATATATTCCCAAAGCTAATATCTTCTCTCTTCCAAGCGCTCATCCCCATTTTCTTTCATCAAATCAAATTTATAATCAACCATTTTGCAGCTTCCAAAAAGTGCTTTGATTGTGGTTCAACTCTCTGCAAGGGTTTCTATTAAGTATGTGTCGCCTGCATGTGTCGCCTTCTGCATGGAACTTGGAGCTAGTCTAAGCTAAATGATTTCTAGTGTAGTTTTAAGTATTGGTTTGACCACCTTTTGCACCGTTTGCCTTGGTCTGCCCACTTTCAATTTTATTTGTAGCCGTTTAGCCAGGTACTTGGCTTCTCATAATTCTCATTTCTAATTGTTTGACTATGCTCTGCATTTGACAGGCGGATTCGCGTGGCTCGTCGTCGGGCACGCCCTCACTGTCCTCGAACTCGTTTATTTCGGCCATGTCCTCGCAGGAGGATGTCGCTTTGGTCAACTTGCATCAGCAGGTCAATCGGCCCATCATCGATTCGCCGCTGCTGATGGCCAGCTACTTGAATCATTTGTCGCAGGTCAAGTGCTTCAACTGGAACGGCTGCTCGTTTCCGCTCGGCCCGGACGTCTTCTCCACCCCGCTCTTCCACGAGAATGAGGACGGCGGCTTGACCTATATAGGCAGCAAAATGTTGCCGCATTTCGACCTGTACTCGTGCTGGCGTGAGATCAAGGTGGTGCCGCGTTATGAGAACACCACAGGCAGCAACAGCTCGGCCACTTTTATGGGCGGTCCCAAGTCGCATCCCTGGGATCCCAGTGTGCTGCTCAAGGAGGAGGAGTCGGACAAGACAACAAACGGCTTCGACGACGGCGAGTTCATGAGTCTCCAATCTGAAGGCGGCGCGGCCTGCACCTCGGTGGTTGCCAGGCTGAAGGGGCAGCTAAATATATTCCTCACCCCACTTCTGCCAGAGGGCTTGCAAAGGTGAGTCTTATTTAAAAGAAACAAACAAATATCGACCTGTGAAAGCGGAAAACGGGCGGAAAGCTGTTGAATCGAATATTTCTCACTTATTTCATGCTATTTATTGCTTTGTAAAAATGCCCTTGCGACGTGTCATACTTTTCGCCAAATCCACTTTAAGTCTGTTCGGTAGGTTAGTTTATCGATCGCAAAAAAATACTTTTTTGTTCAATGTACTCCAAAAACGAAGCAGAGCACCATCGATCTGTTTTGCTGAAGGCAGGCTGACCTTCGTTGGTCTGGCATTTTGAGAGCGAAGGCGTGTGGTTTGAAGTGGCAAAAGCCAGATCAAAAGCCAGATGAAAATCCAGATAAAAAGCCTGTTGAAAAGCTTAATGAAAAGGCAGATCGAAAACCAGGTAAACAGCCAGATAAAAAGCCAAATGAAAAGTCAAATAAAAAGCCAGTTGAAAAGCCAAGTGGAAAGCCAGATGAAAAGACAAATGAAAAGCCAGATGAAAAGCCAGGCTAGGAATTTTTATTCGCATTCAAATGTATGGGCTTTACTCACCTAAGTGTTTATATTGATTTTTAAATGAGAGAAAAAACAAGCCCGGTTCTGATTTAGTTCATTTGCAAGCGATTTAACTAATTTATTCGCACATGCTTATAAAATATATACAATTATATTTATATATATAATATACACCTAAGTCAATTGAACAAATGGAATTGTGAAAACTTAACTTCGTTTGACGCGAAAATGCGTGCGTTTCGCCTGCCTGATGGCCATGTTGAGATTGCTCTGGCCACCCTGGTCACGTGGGAACGAGTCCATCAGCTTCTTCAGGTAGCTTTCGTTCGTGTTCTGCATCGAGTCTTTAATTTGTGTGTTAAATGCGCCGGGTTCGACTTACCTCGGGTGCGTCGTCGGTTTTCCGGCTGTCGCGCTTGTAGCGTTTGGACTCCAGCCGAGTCTGGCCGGGATTGGAGAGCTGATACGCGTCATAGTTGAGCATTTCGCTGTGTCGTTTGTCCGTTTGCAGCTGCTGCTCGCCGGGCCCATTCTCGCTCTTGATGACCCCGTTCTCGGTTTGGATAAGATAGCGCAAGGGCTCACGCGCATTTTGCGCAATGAAACTGCAAAATTTAACGAGTAACAGGAATGTGTGCGTGTGTGCGTGTGTGTGTGTGTGCGGGAGGTAGTTCGATTGCATTCGTATGTGTATTTATGCAGCCAACCTGTCGCCATCGTTGGCTGCCATGTCGTTAGCCAGCGGCAATGGCTCGGCGGCTTCGACCTCGTCGCCGACTCCACGCTCCTCGACGGCAGCTGGTGCCGCATTCTCATCGAGCGCCGAGCCATCCAGTTCATCCTCCTCCTTGTCCTCCTGCTGCTGCGCCTGCTGCTGATCGTGTGCGGTCCGCGCGAGCTGATGACGCTCGTAGGGCATTTGGAGTTCCGCCTGCTTGGACTCCTCCTCGCTTTGCTGCGGCTGGCCCTCGTCCTCGGCCACCAGCTTGGGCAGCTCCTTAAAGTCATGCATATTCCCGGCTGCATTCGCATTGGACAGTTTGCCATAGTCCATGTTAAACACATCCGGCAGTGTGTCATCCTTGCCATTCCAACCGTCTAGTTGCTTGTGCAGCTTGAGTGATTCGTCGCGGTGCGCCTGGGCAGCCAATCGTTCCAGACTGTCCATGCTGCTGGGCTCCTGGTCCGTGGCCAGATCGGAGAAATCCTGTATGTTCGACCTTTGCTTGGCTCGCTGATGGTTGCGCTGCAGGCACATCTGGTCCTCCGGATCGCACTCCTCGATGTCCTTGCAGTTCTTCTTGGAGCCGCTCTCGAATTTGGCACCATCCACATGTATGTCCAGGAAGCCGTCCAGGGACTTGCATGCCGTGGTGGCGCATCTTCTGGTGGTTGAGGTGCAGCGTCGTGTGGTGGGTCGCTTGCTGCACTTGGGCCGTTCAGTGCACTGGTCCTTCTCCTTGTCCGAATCGTCCTCGTCGTGGCAGCTGTCGTCCAGCGATTGCTTGTTCGATTTCAGAGCAACCTCCAGGTCCTCATCGACGGCATCCATGTCGTCGTAGTGCTGTTTCTTTGCCTGTCTATGGTGTCCCCTAAGGCTTGCTTGCTTTGAAAGGAATTAATTATGGACTGGGCTGTTCTTTGGCCATTCACTTTGCTACACACCCTCCAAATCGAATGGTCCATTGCCGGCATCATCCAACAGTTTATTCAGTGCATTCAAATCGTCTAGCGACAGGCCGTTCAGTGTGGACTCCACTTCGGCATCGCTCAGTCCATGCGTCAGGTCGGGATAGTCGGCCGGATCAAGAGCCGCATGCTGCGCGGGTTTCGCCTGGCCTTCCTGCTTGGTCGAGCCTTTAGCCAGAGCATTTAGGTTAGCTAAAAGAGTATTGTCTACTCACCAAGGGATACGCTGCCGTAAGGAACAGCGAGGCCAAGAGCAAACCAATTCGCAGTAGAAACATATTTTCGGAAACCTTTGGCACTTAAATTTGTAGTATATATATATTATCTTATTCTGGTCCAACGACAATGATTTTGTTTTGACTAGTTGACTGGGTTGAACACAAATCCGACGAAACTGAATGTCAGTGGGGTGGCTGGGGTTTTATAATATCGGTAGGTAATATAATTTCCTTTCAAGTCTGAACAGTCAATAAGATATAGCGACAACCATGTGGACTTTCTTTTATTATCTTTTATTCTCCTCGTTTTCTCGTTTTGCCGAAGACTGTGTTTCTTTCACCGAATTGCTTATCACATATCGCTTCTCGCTTTATTCCTCTTGTCGTAATGTCGAGGACTGCGTTTCTTCCATCAATTCACTAATCGCTTCTCGCTTCACTTTCTCATCATTTTGCTGGTATCATTTGGGTTAGGTCTTCCATAGCTACTAACTTCGCTTCTCGCATTGCTTCTCAAAGCTTCTCGCTTTATTTTTCATTATTTTCTTACTCCTCTTCTTTCACTCTCATCGTTACTGCCAAAGTGTCTGGCCTAAATATTTCTTAGCTTCTTTTATTGTTTGTCTTTTTTCTTTCTTCGCATCTTACTCTGCTTCTCTCTTGCTGCCTTTCGCCAACTATTGACTTAAGCTTCTCTCTCTTAATTGTGTAAGATTATCCATACTACAAATACTTTTATCCCTTGCAGAATGGTTGAGGCTGCGGTACCAACGATTCAGTCAATGCATCTGCTGTCGGTGGTTAACTTTATCCATGCCTCGTGCATAGCTAAAGTGAAGAACGATAATATACTTAAGCGGGATCAGAGTCTCAGCTACTGGTCGCAGGTGCATTCGAATTCCAAGCGCTCGACAACCGAGCGCCATTTGCAGGGACCCGGCGATTCATTCCTGAGCGATGTCTACGAGGAGAGCATATCGACCAAGACCCAGGGACTGATTGTGCTGCCCAAAGTGAGCATAACCATGCTGCAGTCGTCCATTGTGGAGGAGATCATATCCGTCGCTGCGCTGGACAATGTGCAGGTGAGTAAAGGGAACGATATACAAAGGAATTTCCATTTACAAATTTTCTATTAACAGGATCTCAGCTGCGTCTCGCTGCTAACATTTTATATGGAGGGCATCTCCACGAAGTTTCACTTGGGCAAAACCACACGCGCTTCCATGCATAATGTCTACATACAGCAGACGGTTCAGTCGGGCAGCAGCCACAAGAAGGGCGGCATTATGAAGGGCACGCGAGCGCTGCTGGCGCATCTCTCCTCGCAGACGCGACCGGACAATGTGCAGGGCGAGCCCATACTCATCGAGACGTCAGAGAAGCAGCTGGAGGAGCTGGTCATAACGCTAGACATCGGACGGGCGCATGCGCAGCTGCGTCGTCTCAAGACCGAGGGCCAGTCGTGTGCGCCCGAGACGCCCGTCATCGTTACAGCCATACCGGAGCACAAGAGCAAGGTGCTCTTCGAGTGCTTGAAGATGCCGGAGAGCACGGGTATCGAGAGCATTGGCTACATCATGTTTGAGTGCGGCCTGGAGGGTGTGGGCGTCAAGATTGTCAAGCGTTCACATTTCGAGAAATCGGAGAACAGCAAAGAGGAGCTGGCCGAAATGACGGGCGGCGCCGATGGCGTTGCATCCTCCGGAGGCGGCTTCAATCTCAACGAGCTGGTCGTCGGGTCGGGCAGTGAAGCCGCAGCGCCGACTGCAGATGGCAGCGGAGCCACCTCGAAGGCAGAGGCCGCTTGGCGTTTGATTACCAAAAAGCCGCCGACGCCCAAAACGCCCAAGGAAAAGTTCCACCATGCTCTGGAAAGTGTTATTGTCAGCGATGGCGGCGCTGCGGCTGCTGAGCACGGACGCAAGGCGACGCCCAAGCAGCCGGCCGATGAGGATGTGGAGAAGGGTGGAGCGGGTGCGGGCGCGGGGGCCAATTCGCAGCAGGCAGCAGGCGCTCAAAAGCAGAGCGGCGCGGGCAAAGATGGCGCCAAGGATGGCTACGACAAGGCGCTTTCGAATGTCAAAGGCACCGACAAGACCTCCTCCTGCGTGATCGAGCTCAAATCCGTGTGGTTTAACTTTGCGGCGCCTCCTTGTGTGCCCATCACGCGCAAGATCGATCTGACGCGCTTGGACTGGAATCTGCTGAGCACTGCCTCGCCGGCCATCACAGCCTGGATGAATCCCAGCAATCGGCTGGCCATCAAAATTGTATCCCTCATGAAGGTGCTGCACACGCGCCAAACGGCTGTCGCCGCCTGCCTCATGGCGGACGCCATGGAAAACGAGAAGATCCAACGCAATCCAAAGATCAAGAAGGTGGGCAATTGGAGTAATTTACATGGCATACGCTAATTGTATATTCTTCATCTTTCCCAGAGTCGTTATGCGAACAATTATACGCTGCTGTCGAAGACGCTGCAGGAGGATCCCAGCTGTCAGCTGTGCTACATCATGCAGAAACTGGTGCTGGACGAGGGAGTGCAGCGCATCGAGCAAATCTTCCAGCATGGCGAGGTGCCGCATCTGAACACGCTGCGACAGGTGAGTGCTATCTAAATATCTAAAAATGCCTATATATAAACATAATTGAATTGCATCTACATTTTTAAACAGGGCATCATTGTGCTGAGTCGTCAGTGGAAGAACACCTTATACAATCCGATATTGTTTGAGCATCAGTACAAGAATAAGCTGGCACGTCCGATTAACGTGACATTCTCGTTCCCGCAGAACGAGGAGGAGTGCGAGGCGGATGAGTGTGAAGGTGATGTTGATATGGGCGCCTATGCTGGCGCCGGCGAGAATCCGGAAGAGAGTGAGAATGCTTTATTACTTGGGCAAACACAGCATCATCGAACTCACATTGGTATTCCTTTGATTAACGCTGCTCAACTGCAACCACTGCAGTTAATTCCCTTTTGTTACAACTAATATATATATTTATTATTGATAGACATAGTCGATATATTTTTACGTTTGTTTTTTATGCACGTTTCTGTTGTTAATTTTTTTGCGCTATGCAAAAGCTGCCTGTTGAGTGCGACAGCTGAACTCAACAGGCATTTCTTGCCTGGCCTTAAATGTTTTCCTTCTTTCCTATTTCTGCTGCTCCTTCAGCAACTTGTATCCATACTTGACTTTCTATTCTTATTTGTTGTTTCTCCCAACTTTTTGCCATACATATTTTTCTGTTCCAAATGCTTTAAGTGTTCATGACTTCATGTTGTTTTGATGCTTTGCGTTTGCATATTTTTTTTTTGTATTCAAATATTCAATGTTACTTTAACTTTTCTTTCTGGCTATACTGTCCTACAATTAAGGCTACAATTATGTTGTGCAGTGTGCTTAATTAGCGCGTTAAAAAGTGTGTTTTTATTTAAAGTATCTATATTCCAGATCGGTATCAATGGAGGAGTCGAGATGACCGTCCGTCTGTTTATATGCAAACAAGATTCTTAGTTTTAAAGCTATCTTCATAAAACTTTGGGAACTGGCCGGATCGAGTTACTTTATTATAAAGCTACCAAAGGAATGATTGGTCGACAATCAAGCTCTTATTTTAACCACCTTTTTGGTTCAATATCTTGACCAAAGTCACTCTCTACATATGGTCCATATTCCTATTAATATCAGACTATTTCGTAATACGTCTCGATTAAAGAATCAATCAATCAATCAAGCTCTTATGTGAACAACTTTTTTGTTGAATATTTTTGCATATGGTCCATATCCTATTAATATCAGACTATTTTTTCTCGGTCGAAGAATAATTTTTTTATGGATTAAGGTTTAATTTTCCATGCTTTTTCTGACATATCTGTACAAAAGCTTAAGACTTATGTCTATCTTTCATTTACTTCTTTTTTGTTCTCGGGAATTGCCTTTAATGCCTATAATGTCTGTCACGTTCAGCTATTTCGCACACTGCACTCAACAAAATTCAGTTCTAGTCTCTAACGCCACTTGAGTGCAAAATTGTGATATTTATTTGTATGTTATGTGCATTTACTCAATACCTTTACCTTTCCCTATTTAGACAATACGCAATATGGTGGTATGTCCTATGGCCATGAGGCAGCGCACCATGGACCGGCATCCCAGCGATCCACATCGACATCGCCCAACATGCACCACACACGCCGTGGGTAAGTGCTTCACCAGCTTTCCATTTGATTGCCTTGTGCTCATGCATGTCCCGTATATTAATGCCGTTGCCTGTGTTCGTGTTTTTCTTTTCTTTATCAACTACCCATCGCATAAATATGAATATGAATATAAATATGTGTGTTGCTTGCTCTTTAAAGTCTGAACAAAGTGCACAGCAAAGCCTCGAATTATTCACATGGCAATTCGTCTCGTTCCAGCATACAAATGCTGCCCATTATATCGGGTCTGGTCGAGAAACAGGTGCCAGAGTTTGGTAAGTCTTAAAAACATATAAATGTATATAAAATTCATATTTATTTGATACATACCTTGCAGAGTACGGCGCCTTGCAGGAGGGTTCGCTGAGCTCGACGAACTCGGTGAACAAGTTTTGGCTGGGCGCCGAGAATCACAAGGAGGACTTGTACTTTTGGATGGCCAAGCAGCAGGACAACAGCAAGAAGAAGGAGCATGCCGCCGAAAAGGAGCATGCCCGTCCCGCGCCGGCCAAGCTGAATGGCCAGACGCATTCGCGCAGCGCCATCATGCAGGACTCCATCAAGCTGCTGGATGCGCATCTGATCTTTGAGCCGCTGCTCACGTGTCTCGGCGTGATGCCACAGCAGATGATCAACAAATTCTCAAATACGGACATCTCATCACTGGAGAACTTCGGTACGAATCTCTCCCTGATTGGCACCTTTGATTCGATACGCGTAGACATCGTGGTCAGCGAGGCGGGCGACAAGAAAACGAATACCAGCTCCAAGCCAGCCGCCAAGCTGAGCAAGAAATCGAATGGCGGACGCGCCTCCATCATGATGGACACTCCCCTATTCCTTTGCGAGCGTGTCGGCGTTGAGCTCGAGGTGCTCAAAATGTCTGACGGCATGGTCGATCAGGCGCGACAGAATGTCATCTACATGTCCCGTCGCCAGCTCAAGAAGCACACGAGCACCGTGATCAACTTCAGCCTGAATGTGCGCTTCATTTCGCAGCAGGTCAACATGCCGCTGCTCCGGCTGCTCCATCAGATCTGCAACATGTATCAGAATGTGAAGGATGCCCAGAACGAGTTCCACGAGCATCCCGAGCTGAGCAAAAAGAGCCACACCAAGGATGAGTGCAGTTTGGGTATTTATTAACCACAATTCCAATTGAAAATTTTACTCATCAAGTTTTTACAGCTTCTGAGCCCACGGATATGCTGGCCTTTGCCTCGGTTGCGGAGCGTTTTGTGTGCCACGGCGCGAGCTTCTCGGATGAGCGCTACGACAAATTCAACGAGACCATGCCGACCATGCCCACAACGGGACGCAGCCGTGGCGGCGGCGGCCTGGCGCCAATTATACAGTTGACGCCGTCGCCCAATGCCAAGAATCGGCCGCAGAGCTTTGCGCAGAAGCTGCGCTCCACGGGCAAATCGGTCAAGGGCAAGCTGGGCTACACCAATCTGAACGAGTCGAGCTCGTCGCCGCTGCGCGACAGTCCGACCATGTCGCTGCACGAGCAGAACATACTCAAGCTGGCGACGGAATCGAAGGCCTCGCTCAATGGCGGCTGCGCAACCAGCGTCAGCGGCGACTACAACAACACGCTGACCAAGTCGGGCATTGTACCGTTGCCGCCGACGCTGCTAGAGACGCCCAACTGCTGGAAGACCATCTACCATCTGCTGGAGCTGTACGGCACCATGCCCGAGACGAAGACCGTGGTGCAGCGCAGTTCCCTGAACGAGCACAAGAAGCCGGCGCCCAGTTTTAGCAACAATGACGAGGACGATTTGACGAATGCACCGACGCCTTTGCCACAGCATCGCGACATGCAGCTGGTCGATGGTGTGCCGCAGGAGCGAACCCGTCTAATTGTCTTTGGCGTGGCCAAGATACACAAGACGCGGCTGCTGGCGACGCTGTCGGGCCTGAAGCTCGAGTCGGAGATCACCACGCTGAACAGCACGGCCACTTGGCGCAAGAAGGCGCGACCAGTTTCCCTCGAATGCTCGCTAACCGGCCAGGTCGGACGCGCCATGATCGTGCTGCTTGAGGGCGTGGCGCCCAGCCAGCAGTAAGTACTGGAAAGATCTTCAACCAGCAGCTTATCTTGTTAACAATGGAAATCCCGCCCACAGAACCGTCGTCAAGGTGACCGTGGGCAAGAGCCAGACGCTCTACTCGAGCCTATCGAAGCGCGGCAAGGACAAGAACAGCGGCCTGGTCTCCATCGGGCCCGTTAACATAGACATACCACAGCATCCAGTCGCGCTGCACGGCATGATGACGCGCAGCTCCAAGCAGCTGTCCTCCACGCTGCAGGAGCTGCGCGTCAAACGCAACTCGGGCCGCTCCACGCTGCGCACGCACACGGCCGAGGAGCCCGAGTCGCCGTTCCATGCGCGCAACTCGGGCGGCGCTGGCAGCGTTGGCGTGGGCAATGCCAACAGCGAGATGCGCGAACGGACCGTCTCCGGCGGTGCAACCCAGCCGCAGCCACAGTTTGCAGCACGGCGTGCCGCACGCCTGGTACAGGCCAAGCCGGCGGCGGCCCATCAGAACGGGCTGCTGCAGCCGCTGGTCATGCAGTTCAATGTGTTGCTGCAGAGCCTGTCCATCAATGCGGCGCTGCTGCCCTCGCTGCAGGCGCAATACCGCATGAACCATGTCAGCTCCATGGGCGTCACGGGGCAACGCGCCAAGTTCGTCATCGATTTGCCCACGCACACGCTCAGCTTCAATACCAAGATACAGGTGAGTCCTCTGGCAGCTCGCTTAAAGCCAAACTTCATCCAGCTAATCTTCAGAATGAGATGAACCTGCCGTCGGAGGCGTGCATTGGTTTGCCGCCCGTGCATGTGCTCGCGGAATATATTCCGGATAACCGACAGGAGTGCACGGAGAGCGTGGAGGGTATTGTGTTGCGGCAGGGCGGCTATGTGAATGCCAGTGCCGAGATTGGCGAATTCGAGCGCTGTCTGACCACGGATCTGCTCAACCATTTGGTCTTTGTGCAGAAAGTTTTCATGCGCGAGATCAACGAGGTACTGCAGAAGGTCTATGGCGGCGAGAAGCCGGTGCCGCTCTGGACCGAGGAAAGTGGGGACAATGCCAGCGTGCCGGAATCGACGCTGAAGCGCATACTCTTCTCCATCAACATATCGATGAAGCGCATCCAATTGACGGCGACCACGCCGTGCTCGTCGGCGGTGCGCTTCGAGACGGGCACGTTGGAGCTGCAGCTGTCGAATCGTGTCAAGAACTTGGGTGATTTGAGCAATCGTAAGCTCTTCTTCAAGGCGCACATCGATTTTAATTTGTCGCTCGGTCAGATCATAAGGAACGTGATCTTTGACGAGGCGGAGCCAGAATTTCAGCAATATGCCTTTTTCCATACGACCATCGGACTGCGTAACGCCTTCCAGGATGAGCTGCTCAACGAGGACAAGGAGCTCATATTGCTGACGCTCAAGCGTCCCCTGGTCTACGTCCAGCCGATAGCCGTGGACAAGGCCATATTGGTCTGGCTGAACTACAAGAACGCCTACGAGTACTGGGCTGAGAAGCGTGCCAATCTCTGCTACGAGCACACGCCCCACCGCGACACCCAGCAGGTATTCGATCGCGTCGCCTTTGGCCAGATAGCCAGCTCGAATCTGTCTACATTGTTCCTGCAACTAACCGTCGAAGATATGGGCATCTGTCTGCCCCTCAAACAGGTCAACACGGTGGTAAGTGGAAACCCAATTGAATATTATATATTATTTATTATATATATATGAAATTGTATGTCCTGAATATTTTTGTTTACCATTCCATCGGCCTCAAACTCATTTTCAAAGATCTTGGCTCAAATTTATTTATGGGGTGTTTCGTACTTTTTGGAAAATCCCTTCCTCCTTTGTCGAAATGGGGGTCAAAGATTTGGTGGCTGATGTTTTGTGTTCTAGTTTATTTCCAAAGATCTATGCGACGAATCATTTGAGGCGTGTTTCACGCTTTTCGCAGAATCCACGCTTTCTCGGGGAAGATTGTTTTAGTTTGTGCTTAGTTTTACGTTTTGTCCATTTGCTGCACATTTATTTTCGCGTGTTTCAGCGATTCTGGCAACTTCACCCGCAACAGTGGGAAATTGGCGGAAATCGATTGTATGCAAGTTTCTTGCTTACCCTCCGATCGGCTTTTAAATCAATTTTTAAGGATCAAATGTTTTCTGGCTTCAAAAAACTTTCGATAAAACTTATTTTTAAATAGAAGTGGAAATCAAAATGGGTGGATTTTAATCTCCCACGGGCACAGAACGACCCCACGGGCAAGGCGGGGCAATTCCCTGCTAGTATATTATATTTAGGATACGGATAGATTGAAATTTACCAAGGACGGAAAATAGCCGAAAAGCCAAAGTTGCAAGAGTCTGGACTCTAAACATGTGGAAAATGCCAGCTGGTCTATTTCTAATCTTGCATATTCTTCACAGTCGTACGGCAGCCGTTCGTATCAGGACTTTGATGCCAAGGGCGCGGTGGTCATCACGCTGGAGAACACGATCATCTCGGCGTGCAACTCGGGCTCACTGGTGTCCAAGGGCAAGTTCCAGGGCCTGTGTCTGCGTTTTGCCGATGACTTTGAGACGAATCTGGATGACTGGAAGCCCAGCTGTGTGGAGCCCATCATGAACGTGTGCGTCGTCTCCGAGGGCACGTTCGAGGTGTGCTCGCGCACCACGGCCGCCAAGAAGGGCGAGAATGCCAAATGGCTGCTCAATGTCAAATGGCAAATGGAGGGCGTCGACATCCATTTGGATGTGAACATTGGCAAGCAGCTGTCGTCGCTGGGCCACACGCTCACCATGCTGACGGGTTTCGAGGAGGACGACACACAAATGGAGTCGCCCGACAGCGATGAGGGCGACCAGAGCAGCCGGGACACGTATGTGCGCAGACGCGGCGAATTCGATAATCTGCCCGCCTTTGTGTTCGATCCGACCATTGACTCGAAGAAGCGCTCGTTCATGATGGAGAAGGAAATGGCCGAGCAGCTGAAGATCATCAACGATTTGCGCACTCTGGGCGCCTCGCACAACACTGTCGCGCACGAGGAGCGCCGCCTCCAGGAGCTGCAGGCCATTTGCTACAAATACTTCCGCCGTGACATGATCCAAAAGTGGAAGCGTCCCTCGCAGCGCCGATCCCTCAAGAACTACAATCGCTCTCAGTCGTACATGGGCAGCGGCGCCGGCGTCGGCGGCGTCGGAGTTGTTGTCGGGATGCCGGCCCGGGAGCTGCCGCTGGACAATGGCAGTCACAGCTATGCGGGCCGACGCCTGGACACGATCGCCTCCAACGATGAAATCTCCAGTTTGCAGAGCACGCCCGCCTCCTGTCATTCGCGCAGCGCTTCGCTAAAAACGGGCGTCGGTCGGGTCACCTTTACGGATGCCATGCGGCAGACATCGCTGCCGAATGCGGACACCGACACAGAGACGGCAGACAATGAGCTCGACTGGCGCAGCATTGGCTTCCAGGGCGATTGCACGCCCAGCGAAATGGATGTGGATGGCATTTCCGTCGAGATGCGGCGCAAGCATGCGCATGCTCATGCGCTCAAACAGCAGCCGGAGCCGAACATTGACTTCGAGCTGGACGTCAAGGTGCTGGTCAACTCGGGCAAATGCGTCCTGCACACCAAGGACAACCACAGCAGCGAGGATCGGGCCGCCTACAATGCAGCCGGCGCAGCCGCAGCTTCCGCCGCCGGCGCCAGCGTGAAGACGCACAAGCGCGAGCGGAGCATCGGTAATGATTGGGGCAGTCCGACACCGTCGCGCCGTCAGCGCGACAAGAGCAAGCTACGCTTCAATGCCAGCGGCCATAATAATGCTCTGCTCGCGGATCTCACCATCTTTCACATACCCGGCCTCGATGTCAAGCTGCACTATCAGTCGCGCACGCTGCCCGATCCCGCTGAGCTGCCGGCGGCGGCGACGGCGACTCCAGCTGGAACTCATGTGCGTCGCGTGGTGGGCAACAAGCGGGCGACGCTGTGCGCTTGGATGACGTTGCAGAGCATACCCGAGGAGACAATCATATCGCCGCACATCCTCGAGTTTCTCGAGCAGACGCTGGAGCCGATACCCGCGCGCCAGGCGAACAGTGTGCCCGCCACGCCCACTCACACAGCCCCCGTCAATCTGGACATATTGCCAGCAAATTATGCGACCTACTCCTCGTTTCCGGTGGATGTCATTGTCTACTTTCATATGCAGCCGTCGACGTTTCGGTTTAGCTGTCTGCCCGTGTCCCGGGTAGAGTGCATGCTGCAGCTGCCCAGCCTGGACATTGTCTTTAGCTCGAAGCGCAGCGCCGACGAGGAGCAGCAGCAACAGCCGCCGCCTGCGGAGCCGCCGCATCTGCCGCAGGGCGGGCTGAGCGTGACGGGCTGCCTGGCCGACTTCAATGTCTACATCTTTCATCCGTACGGCGGCAAGAAGACCTCCAAGGAGACGCAGTTCTCGCCGCTGAGCGACACCGAACGCAAGGATTCGCTCAGCATCAATGTGGAGTTTGTCAAGTTTCACATCACGCGCTGCCGCAAGGTCTACATCGAGCCGCTGCCCAGCTCGAAACGTGCCCTGGATCAATCCCGCGCCGTCATACGCTTCTCCACAATTGTGGACATTGGCAGCGCCAGCTTCAAGTACGATATGCGTCGACTCACCGAGATTTTGGCCTTCCCGAAAGCCTGGTACAGGCGTCGCATTGTCCGGCGACTCTTTCTGGGCGATCTCAGCGTCCAGCAGCAGCAGCAGCAGCAGGCGGGCGGGGAGACGCCGACGGGCTGTGCGCCGGCCACACCCACGCCGAGCGAGGGTCGCTCTAAGGAGAAGCTGCGCCTGGACTTTGAGGGGCAGCAACAGCAACCTCTCCAGCAACTGGGACATTTCGGGGCGGTGCGCAAGCTCAAATCCTTGGGCAAATCCTCAAGCGCCGAATCGTCGGGCACGCCGCCCTCGGAAAAGAATCAGATAACAGCCTGGGACACGCTGGTCATCTTCGCGGTGAACTTCACCAAGCTGAATGTCCAAATGAATATTGGCAATGTGTGCGGCAATGTGGTCTGGCTGACCAAGGATTTCCGTTCGGACGGACGGCTGTCCATCGGTAGCACGGGCTACAAGAACATGTACGCGGGCATCTATTTGGGCGGTTCGGCGCTGGATGCCAAGGGCGGCATTGTGGGCGGCAGCTTTGAGGTGAACAAAATCAACAAACGCTTTCACATCAAAGAGGAAGCCGGCATGGAGCCGTACCATACGCTGGGCCTGAGCTTTATGGCGCTGGAGCTGCGTCTCGACTATATGGGCACCTCGGTGCTGATGACGCGCATCAGCACCTTTGCGGCGGCCATGAAGGACGAGTGGCGCACGGCCACGCAGGCAGCTGCCAGCGGCAAGGATCAGCCGCGTGCGCTCATCTTTATCCATGGCGATCTCAGCTGGGATCAGCTGCAGATCATGATATCCAAGTCGACGACGGCTGATCTCATGAAAATGTACTTTAAGCTCGAGGAGTTTTTCACGCAGCAATTCAAGTCGTCCAAGCGCGTCTTCTCCAGCCTCGAGCCGCGTCTGCAGGATCGCACTGCGAGCATCAAGCGTCGCCAGCAGCTCAAGAAGAAGCCCAATGGTGAGCTACCACAAGTCGCTGCCGCCGCCGCCGCTGCCGCCAACTATTGCGGCGTGGACAACACGGATGCACGGCATCATCGCCACTGGCAGAAGCCGCTGGCGCAGGCGATTGGGCTGGTGGTGCCGTCGCTGGTGACGCGCCTGCCGCGGCATGGCAATGTGCTGGGCGGCACCGTGGAGCTGCGCGGCCAGAACATTTCCCTGGCCTGCTTCCATGGCATCAACTTCAAGTCGAAAGCGTGGGCGTTGTTTAGCCTAAAGTCGCCGTCGATTAATTTTGCCACCGAGGCGCGACAGATCGAGGACAGCAGCGAGGTGCTGGTCACACAGACGTTGACCTCCTGCCTCGGACAGACAACGGAGGTGCAGCAGCAGCAAAATCACTCGATGGCTATTGTCAGCCGGATCACGCGCAACATCATCTTTCCGCCACAGTTCAAAACCCTCAACGAATGGTTCCACTATGCGTTCGCCAACAGCGAAATCGATGGTGAGTCTGGTCGACAATTTAATGTGGCTTCCTTTCGCTTATGCCGCTGAGTTTTTCCCCCTCAACAGCTGTGGATCGCTTTCCCATGCTGGAGTGCGAGCGCGAGATAGCCTCCAATTCGATTGAGCGTACACGCGCCACGGGCAGCAGCACGGGCGGCTCGGCCAAATCGCAGGAGCACAATCACAATCGAGAGGTCATCTTTGCGCTGCCCAGCCTCCAGCTGCACTTCAAGACCGAGCACAAGCAGGGCTCCAGCACGCCAGAGCCAAGCGGTAACTCATCTGTACTCAAATATATAAAAGTGTATATTAAGCCTTTTGTGCTCTTCTCTAGAATCCAAACCGGAAGTTTTGTGCAGTTTCATAACAGAGTTTGATGATCACATATTTGTCACGGTCGATGCGGATGCGTTCTTTTTCCTACACGATCTGATAACGTCCTATGTCACCGAAAAGGAGAAGGTGGTGCGTATGAGAGGAAAAGTCTTCCGCCTGAAACAGTTTCCCATGCCTATGGCTTTTTTCTATTGCAGCTTGGCGCTCAATCGGCGCGCGCAGCCTCACCAAATCTTTCGCAGAAGGCCAACCTCAAGCCCTATCTGACGGACGAGATACTCAAGGACAAGAAAACCGCTTCCAATACGAATTTGACTGTGCAGAGCCAGCAACTAGGCGGCAGCAAGACCAGCCTGGAGCCAATGCAGGGCAGTCATACGAATCTGGCGACAATTACGACTACGAACACGGCGGCAAATGCTGCCACAGTAGCGATAACAACGACGACCACGACAGGCCCGACAACCACGACAGGTACGACGGCGACTACGACAACGAATTCGGGTGCAAGCGATGCCAAAGATTGCCCGCCCGGCGTGGAGCTGCCCAGCTTTGATATCGAGTCGTTTGTGCGCGATTGGCGGCACTTTGACTGCCAGACATGGCATCTGGAGCCGACAGTGCGGCTGCTCTCCTGGGCCGGAAAATCGATTGAGCCATATGGCGTCGATTATATACTCAATAAGCTGGGCTTCAGTCATGCGCGCACCACTATACCCAAGTGGCTGCAGCGCGGCTTTATGGATCCCCTCGACAAGGTGGAGGCGTTGATGATGCTGCAGTTGCTGTTGTTGGTGCGCGAGAATAAATCCGAGGCGGGACATGCCAAGCAGCAGCAGCAGAATCAACGACCAGCACCCAATTAGCTGGTGCCCACTTAACAGCCGAATAGGACGTTATCCATGACAATTGGCCATTGTGTATGTTTATTAATTAGCTTTAAAAAGTTAGCTTAGCGATATTTAGTCTATGTAATTGTTGTGATTTGTGTGATTATTGTGTAATTTGAGTGTATTTCGATTTCCTGTCTAGGATCGCAAACATTTCATATGCTCTGCAAAGGAAATTCTTTAATTACACTCAAAATACTCGCAATATTATTATTATAATTCTTATAACTGGCCAATCGGGCTGCTTTGTTCAATTGTAAATTGTTTGCTCGCGTCTTCTATTCCGATTTAGGTGTAAAGTCAAGTGCTTCGCGTAGTTTGCTCAATTTTAGCGCTTTGTAATTATCGTTTTGTTTACTAAGTTATTGTGCAGAGCCAATGTTTAAACTTTAAGTAGCTCTAATTAAAAAAAAAAAACAAAAACGTATACACAAACTCAACTATTTAAACAAACTGTGTAAGTTTCTAAATAGGCAATAAAGTCGTCTTTTAAAAGGGAATGCTTAACATGACATTTAAATTCCTTTAGCTGGAACTGCTTTTAGACACTTGTCTTAAAATGTCAAAGAAATGTATTAATTATTAATTTTGTGCGCACTTGTTTAATAATTTAATTTTGCCTTTGTCATATTTTGTTAAAAGCCAACCTATTTCATTTATGGCTAGCATTTTAATTTTGTTTCAATCTCTAGATTCATACTTCATTTAAATTTCATTCATACTTAAATGTCAAATTTACACTAAAACAACAAATTTGCTATATATTTTAAACATTCTTGAGAATGACAAACAATTTGATATGTGTATTTTCCAAGTCCATTTGAAATGCTCCAGACTTGGAGTTCCAATAACTTTGATAAATGCGCAGATATACCCTTTCATGCAACATATTGACAAAAATTGCATCTATTTGAACATGGTTTGTTCTCTAGGTTATTTATAAGTTTTGTATAATTTTTCTTAGGCAATTATGTCTTTATAGTATTTAAGTTTTTGAGTCAAGTGTCAAGTCCAAGTTTGTGTCAAATCCTTTTAAATGCTCTACCCAGACTTGGAATTCCCATAACTTTATGTATACCCTTGCTGCCCTCTAGATTAATTAGGATAGACAATCGATAAGCATTTTGTGTGTATATAGTCTGTCTGTCTTGAGTATTCCGCCTAAGTTTTTGATTCGAGCTCCAAGTTGAATTTTAGTTTAGCGCAGTTCATAAAATCCTTTTAGTTTTATGATTGTTATTTGGGCAGCATATGGCCCGGCGTTTTGTATGGCGCTTGGCGAAGAGAAAAATTCTTAGTTAATGGTTTTTTCTTTCGCCTGACTTTGCATTCTGCGATTCAGTTTCCTTCGACTGGGTGGCTGGAGCTACGCCTCATCCTTCTGCCCATTTCCTCGGCTTGCTTGAGTAAACTTTGCATCCGCTGCGTGTATCCGCTTTTTGTTTTCGTTTTGTGCAGTGGAAATGTTTCTGTATTTTTCTTCGTTTTTTTTTTGTGCTTTTTTAGCCTTTCAACGGGAGTTTTTTTTTTTTTTTTTGCTTGTCACAGTTCTTTATTTCGTGCGCCTGTGTGTCTTTGTAAACATTTCATTTTTATCAAGGTTGCGTTTTTAATTATTTTTCTTTTCTCTGGTTCATTCCGCTTTTTGTGCTGCTTCTTGTTCAGCTTCAGCTTCGTCTTCGTCTTGGTGTTTTTTTTTTTTTTTGTCTTGCCCTGCATACTATTAGGTTCGTCCTGTTTCTACATCATTTTGTGCAGCAACTGTAGAAAAAAGAAAATTCATGGCGATTTTCTAAGAGCGCGCCCATTTCTGATGAGCTTTTCACGCACTGTAGGCGCGCCCTGAAAACCGACTGGGCCTCGTGAGTGAGGGGTTGCGGGTGGTTGGGTTAGGGTATTCCACCCTCGGGCAGGGTCGCGCGAACACAAAAGGCCATGAATGCGAGTGGTTTACTTTGGAGATTAGTTTATCTAAAGTTAATGAGGGTTAAAACTAATAGGCGAATGGCTTAATTTTTAATTATGAGACTTGGTTTCTCGTACAGCTCTTGTGTTCTGCTTTCCTTACATTTTTGTGGCTGGTTTTTGTTTTTCTTTGCCCGTTGACTTTGTAGCGTTTAATTTTTGTAATTTTGGCACAGAGCCACAGGCAATATTCGGGCTTATAAAATGCCATTCTAAAGGCAGCAAAATGAAGAGATTGGCTTTTGAAAATTCGTGGCAAAAAAGAGATACAAAGACGCATAAAATTAGTTCAACAGCTAAGCTGTGCTGAGGAAATTCTATTTTTATATGATTTTGAAATAGTTTTCAAAAAATTGGGCTCGTGGATGAATATGTTCCAGCTTATGTCCCAGTGCGTTGCAAAGCAACGTATTGCTCTTCTAAGCGATTCTCATGAATTCAAGTAAGCCCTACTGGTTTTCTGGCTTTGATTATAAGTATTATATAGGCAAAATGTGTTGTTAATTTGATAAACTTGATCTCTGCTCATACTCATAATCTAATTAACTCTCACTCTCTCTCGCCCACACTCTTCTCTCTCACTCTCTCTCGCCCACACTCTTCTCTCTCTCTCGCCCACACTCTTCTCTCTCTCTAGAGACAAAATTTTTACCTATAAAAATATAGATATAAATATATCTTGTTGCATTGTATAAGAAGAAATTGAACTCAAATCCCAGCTCTCGCAATATTCAATTGCTTTCAAATTAAGTATACGCACCGTGAAATATAAGCTGCTGGGCATTTGATATTTGGAATGAGCCAAAACTTGTCATTTAAGTGGATATTTGATGCCATTTATTGGCATTTTGCTGAAACAATATACTCGTAGAGAGTTTTATTAGTTTTCACTGTAAACGAGAATTTTCTCACAATTCACATTGTGTGCACATAAATTGCGAACGCCCTGTTGTCTGGCAACGTGGGGCGTGTTGAACATTTTTCAATTAAATGTTTTGGCAAAAACTTCAAATTTATTGAGACGCAGCCAAACACTTGGCAAACGTTTGTGATTTGCTTTCAGTGAAATATGAGTCCGGCACTGTCATAACACATACGTACATAAATTCGCAAAAGGGCGTCATTAGAAACTGCTGCTCGATTCGGGACTTTATTTATGTGGCCGGCAGCCGTAAGGCAATCAGATGCAGCCTGTGCTCAGCCGGGCAGATCTTGCTAAATTTATGCAGCAGCCCTCGAGCTGGGCGCTAAATTATTTTTTAATTTCTGTGGGTTGAAGCCTAAGAAAACTTCTGCATTTCGTTTTTGGTTGTTGTTCTTGTTTGTCTTGGCTTGCTTTTGGTCGAAAACAAGAGGCAACATAATAATCAAGTCAATAAAAAAGCCATAAAAAACGAAAATATCGCAAAAGGCCAAGTCTATTTGTCTGTGCTGTGTGTGTGTGAGTGTGTGTGGCCATTGTGGCCTGGCCGAAACACACACAAGGACATGCCATAGACAAATATCAGACAAGACAAGACAAGACGCTGAACTTGTAGAACGATAAAGCAGGCAATAAAAACCACAAAGCATAATAAAAATTACATTTTATTTCTCTGAGTTGTGGTTGTTGTTGCTCTTCTTCTAGTTGTTGTTGTTGTTGTGAATATAGAACATTTTTAAATACATAGTCAGAGGCACACGCACATCAACAGGCTACAGGCTGCAGGCTCAAGTCCTTTGCCTTCGCTCACAAATGACGCCAAGTTATTTTTGTCCTTAGATTGCGTGGGCAGCAGCAACAGCAACAACAACAAGGAGCAGGACATTGACGCCGCATACTTTGAATAATGTGAACCCCCGACTGCCCCCCGACTGATATAATCGCTCCCCCGTGTGCCTGGCCAAGTGACCAAGTGCTACGATTACTACGATTTGTGGACATTTAACTGTTTCTAATAATTATGCAAATGTGTGTCACTTTTGGGGCCACAGCAGCCAGCTTTCTCCTCCTGCTCCTCCTCCTCCTCCATTCCCAGCACAATTATGTGCCGCATATAATCAAGTGGAGCTGAGCGTAAAAAGCACTCAACAACTGGGACATTATCAAATTTAATGATGCGCTCTTCTATTCGCAACTGGGAATTGCATTATCTCTTGGGTTTTTCTTAAGCTTAAAGAAATTGTTAATTATTTCCATTTAACGATCGTGCTTTTTATGGCATAAGCATTTAATTGTTATTAATCTTAATATTTATTAATTTTTTATTTAAAATTTTTTGTATTAATTGAAGCGTTTAGAGTTTGCCGGTTCAAATTGAGCAATAATTTTTTATAATTTTGTTATTTATTTATGTGAACATTATCCAATTTAATGATGCGCTCTCTTCTATTCGCAACTGGAAATTGTTTTACCTTTCGGGTTTTTCTCGAGCTTAAAGACATTTTTTAATTATTTCAATTTTAGGATCGTATTTTGTATGGTTTTGACATTCAATTGTTATTAATCTGTATATTTTGTGATATTTTTTTATATATTAGTTTTATTAGTTCTTGGACTATTAAGCTTGACTTATTTTTGGGAATTTAATTTACATTTTTCTAGTCTTAGTTTTTTTCTTACATTCATTATTGTTATTAATAGTAGATTTAACTCTAAGATTTGCCAGTTCCTTTTAATTTTTATCACACATTATTTAAGTCTGAGGGTTCTGCTATATAATCTGCAATAATGGTGGAAATAATTACACACTTTTGCCCCAAAGCGGATGTCGCCCGGCCATGCAAATTAAGTGAAAAATTACAAGGCACAAAAAAATAATTACACACTTTGTATGCACTTCAGGGTGTCAGAGTGTGTGTGTGTGTGTGTGTGTGTGTGTGTGTGTGTGTGTGTGTGTGTGTGCGGGTTAGTTAAGTGTGCGGAGGTCACACAATGCCATTTGCGCTTGCATAATTATAAAATTACTTGCCGCCAAGTGGCAAACAGCGCGCACTTCCTTAGCTCATTCTTTTGTGATTCGCACTCCAGGGTATATATAAGAAATGCGAGTATATGCATATATCTAGAAGTACATGCGGACTTATGAAAGTATATATAAGTATCTGGCAAATGTTGTCATCGAAAGAAATAAGTAGAGCTCGTCTTTAAGCTATTTGTATATTTATTATTTATTTATTTATGCACTTTTTACCGATTCGACAAAGATGAGTGTCTTTCTTATTATTTAAGACATCAAGTTATGAAAATTAAATGGTAATAGCCCAATTAGCATACACAAGTTTCTGAAGGCATCAACGACTCAATGGAGCTGTTCTATTTGCCCTCCCGGTCGCAGCCAATTTTGTCGGAGCCTGCGGCTAAAAAGGAAGGTTGAGAAAAAAAAACATGTAAGTAAAAATTAAAAATAATCTTAATTTACAATAAATAGGCAAAACCAAAGAAATAAGTTATATTTAAAGTAATTAAATTTAAACTAGATCTATAGAATGTTAAGGTGATAGGAACAAGAAATCACCAACTCCTTGGGGGAAATATATAGTCTGTCC